CCTGAAGCAAACCATTATGTGACACAAAAGGCAATTGCTTATTTTGGCTATTAGGAAATATGTTTTGCCGCTTGCTGGAATTTTTTAATAGGATGATCTAACTTTCTAAATGTTTGAATTTCTTACTTCTTCAGTGCAGCAGAGTGGAGTCAGCAAGACCCAATAGGTGTACAAAACGTTCCACTTTTATGTTTGATCCTTAAAGGTGGGGTAGGTAAGTTTGAGAAACCGGCTCGAGATGCACTTTTTGTTATATTCAATGGAATGCTCTTAACATCCCGATAGCAATGAATATCTGAAGTGCTTTTACAATAAATCCATGAAAAAATCTCATCTGTGGAAGCCGTGGCACTGTAAAAAGCAGGACCAATCATTTTAGCCGGCCCGGCTAAAATAACTGGATGGCCTACCTGCCTGTCAGCCTTCCATCTGTGCACACTTATCTCGTGCCCTCATTGGTCATGTGTGTGTTGGAGGAGGGGCTCTGTAAGGAATTGGCAGACTTTTTCCGGCTGTGTATTTTCAAATTCTAGCGCGCTCGAGCTGGTTTCTCCAAAATTAGCTACCCCACCTTTAAGCACTTTCAATTATTTCAAAAGTATACTGTTAAAACTTTTAGGAATTTTGTTCAGTCTTGAATGTATTCATTACATAATTAAATAACACAATAAAATAAGGTTGCTTCATATCTTTTTTCTGGTCCCATATTTTAATTGTTATTTAACATAATCCCTTATCTCTACAAAATATCACTCAAAAAGGCAATTACTTATTTTGGCTATTAGGAAATATGTGTTGCTGTTTGCTGATATTTTTTAATATGGAGATCTAAATTTCTAAATGTTTTTATTTCTCACTTCTTCAGTGCAGCAGAGTGGAGTCAGGCACTGTTACACAGCCTCAAGACCCAACCTCTACATCAACAAGGACACAAAGGTCATCTGCCAAGGATTCACAGGGAAGCAGGTTTGTACTGACGTCTTGTTACCATAAACAGATGGGTTACTGTGATATTTTTGTGAAATCTCAGTTTTTCCTTCACACACACACACACACACACACACACACACACACACACACACACACACACACACACACACACACACACACACACACACACACACACACACACACACACACATACACACACACACACCTGGTGACCTACACACACACACCTGGTGCTCTACACACACACACCTGGTGACCTACACACACACACACACACACACACACACACACACACACACACACACACACACACACACACACACACACACACACACACACACACACACACACACACACACGGCTGCTCGATATAATTTGAACAGTATCTTTTTAACTGTTGATTACCCTGAACGTCTAATTCAACTGAAAAAAAAATAATGCTAAAATAAATGATATATTTAAATAAATAATAAATACCAATAAACAAGATCAACAAATATTTTGGAGCGCACTTCCACAAGCTACTAATCATATATAGATATGATAAATACAAATAAATTAGAACAAAATAAATTAGATGAAATATGTTGCAGTGCACCGTCACAACTTAGCAAAGCAAAATAATCGTTTTTTTCGATTATGTTGTTTTCGTAATTGTGGCAGGCCGAAATCGTAATTGCGATTCAAATATGATTAATTGCACAGCCATAACACACACACATGAACACACACATGAACACACACACGAACATACATACACACAAAATATTCTCCCTCCTCTCAAAAGTCATGAGGGATTATAAAAGTTTATTATTTCCATAACATGCTATTATTTTCACCTTGATTTCCCTGTAGTGTTTACTAAATAATCTAGATTTTTGAAGTTTATTTTATTTATACAGCAAAAATCAATGGGTTTAATTATAATATTTTAAATCATCATTAAGACCCTCAATTACAATTAGGAAAAATATTTCTGTGGCCTCAAACACACAAATCAGAAAAAATAATTACGGTACAAGATCCTATTAAGTGAAATATGTTAATATATGTTAATAATTATTAAATAAATATCAAGTATATATTACTGTGTCAACAACTAGTCAATTTATTTTTTATGTTATGTGCAGTATTATTTATGATAATATTCATGATATGTGTGAATGCTGACATTCGACCTTGGATCAGTTCATTCTGTAGTGTAATTGTTGTAAGATTGCTTTGCCCCCTATTGTCCCGTAGAAAGTCATTTTCAGTTGTTTATTTCAGCTTGGAAAAATCGATTTTATTTTGACTTTTGTTTTTCCCCCCATGACTACCCCGAGTCATCGGTTTAGTCAATAATTATACATACCAGTTAGTTTTCAAGAGCATGAAAAAAAGCTGAAGTGAATCACTTGAACTGTATCCAGTCAAGCAGAATAAAGGTGTTGGCAAGTGTGTTCAACAAGCCAGAAACGTTGACTTTACAGATTTATTCTCCCCCTTCGGTCCTCACGCACATTACATTTTTCATCTTCCATTTTCTCTTCAACATAATAAAAAGTTGTTAAATATAGCTCAAGTGAACACTCCGGGTAATTAGAAAGGGATGAGAAATGAAGCAAGTTCTATTGAGTGCACATTATGGTGTCTCTGGCTTAATAAGCAAGCCATTTTTCTAATTTATTGTCTTAACATTTGCGATAATAATGGTGCAAAGTTAGTAGAAGGTAACGGAGTATATTACAATGTTTGGGAGAAAATGCTGATTCATGGCTTGTAATTCCTCTTAATAGCCCAGTTATACATTAAATATGAAGGTCCTTCATTTGCTCTTGTGATTTTGACCCTTGCTACTTTGTCTACATTGGTTCAGCATCTTCAGTAATAATTAACAGACTTACATGATTTGTTCACCAGAAAATCTATTGACACTGACCTCATTTTCTAAGGAAGGTACAACTGAGATTCACTCACAAAATGTTACCTCCTAAAAAGCACTATACCCTCTTGAGGGCTATTACTGCTTTATCTGGGTTTTTTTCATTTACAAGGGTTCCTCATGTTTTAATTAGTACCAAACACTACGAAGGGCAAGTCATAGGCTGAGCTTACTAGTGTCTCTCTCTGTAGCTACCCACATTAAGGTTCTCACATACGGTTTCCACTGTTATCCCTTAATGTGTTCTGTATGAGCTTGTTGGGTCTCCTCATAGAAGCTGTACAATGTTTACTTTGAAAGAAATATTCCAACCATAATATGCTTTAGTTGAATGACTAAAGGTCAATAATGAAAACCTAAAGTCAATCTATTTTGTATGAAAATATTCAGAATATCTTGAGTGTCTTTTTTGTAATACATTCTTCCCCTTTGGCTAATGTCTGGCAAAGTAATTTTTCTGTGAGTTTTCTGTTTAGCCTCCAGTGAATATGTGAGATACAAAAGTTGAAACTAGAAGTTTCTTTGAAAAACTAATTACAGGACATTCGAAAATATTTGTTTATCTTATTTGTTAATGGAAAAATGACTATTTTAAAAATGGTAAGGTTTACTCCAGTACAAGTCAGGCTATAGTGTTCTATATTAAAGGTACTTCTGTTTGAAACAAAGTGAAAATGCAGTGCTATCCTGCACCTTAACGAGCATGACCACATTCACAGGGTTATTTGTGCCAATAATGACAACTAAATTAAATTGTGGCAATATAATCTATACTTTTTATCCTACAAGGAACTTGTTAGGTTTACACACTTTAAGGAAAGCTCCCATGTGAAGTTAGTAATTAGATGTGTGTCTGGACATTCATTTGCCTCATGAATGTATTGATCAAATCTTTCAAATCAATTTACATGCAGGTGACTGTATGTCAAATATCTTTGGAAGATATTTTAAAGTCTTTTAAAGTAAAGAAAATCCAAAGCCGCTTTAAATCTGTTTTTCCAATATTTTGCTAGGAGATTAAACTAAGCCTACATCATTATTTATCTGACAAGAACCTTTCGATTTCTCCTCATTGAATATATATTTACCACTAGCTGAATCCAGCCTTGCTTACGCATCCATCCCTTTACCCAGCAGCTCAGGTGATTAATCCTGGATGGCAGCCTATTTCCTCCTTCCTCTCTGTCTGTAATGATATCTCAAGGTTGGCGCTGCAGAAAGCGGCTGCACCTCACTCCATTACACTCATTCACACGCTGCCTCCTCTCTCCCTGCAGGGAACGTTTCACAGTCAGCAGGCTCTCGACTATGGCTCGCAGGTGGTTGGAGGTGTTTCCCCGGGAAAGGGGGGGAAGACACACCTGGGGATGCCCGTCTTCAATTCAGTCAAGGAGGTATGTGTGACTCATTATCCATCTATGGGTGTCCCTTTTTTATTTCCCTGTATCCTGTGAAGGACTGCAAAGCTTTTACATTTTAAAGAAACATTAGGTGGCACTATTTCATAACTTTTAGAATTCTCATTATTAATGCACCACCGATACCTTTATTGCTCGCCTCAGGCAAAGGAGGGCACAGGGGCAGACGCCACCGTGATTTATGTCCCCCCCCCGTTCGCGGGAGCAGCCATTATCGAGGCCATCGATGCCGAGATCCCCTTGGTGGTGTGCATCACCGAGGGCATCCCCCAGCAGGACATGGTGAGAGTTAAACATAGGCTCCTGCGCCAGGGCATCACCCGCCTCATAGGCCCCAACTGCCCAGGAGTCATCAATGTAAGCACGCACACACGCACACGCACACACGCACGCACACACATACATACCTTGTACCATGTACACCATGTAAATACCATGTATTTTCTTATGTATTTGTTTGTAGCTTAGAGACCTGAAAGGACAATCTTCCTCTCGAGGATGCAGTAGAACTATTGATTTTAATGCATTTGTTTTGCTTTTATTTTAAACTCTTTTGATTAATGTTCAATGTTAGCAGACAAATACAATGTACAACTTAAAATAAATATATAATGTTAACTTTGTTTTAAGCAGTGAATGCATGGCAATTCAAATTAAAGGAACATACATTTATAATTCTGTTTGTTATTTTTGTTTCTCTGTATTTTTAATTGTTCTGTTTCTTTGAAGTTAGCTTATGGTTTAGAGAAATATATTGTCCTGAAGCACTCATATCAACAATTATTCATCATAGTAATTGTTCTTTGGTTTCATTAAACATTTAAATGTGTATCTTTTCTGCAGCCTGGTGAGTGCAAGATCGGGATCATGCCAGGCCACATTCACAAGAAGGGAAGAATTGGTGAGTTTTGCTAAATTGTCGATGAAATTAATAAAATGACAAACTTTAAATTCTTTGTTTGGGTCTTTTAAGTATTTCATTTATACATTCAAGCTATGGGAGATTTGTATTTAGGAATATTAGTTGAATAACTGCCCACATGTTTAAGTCTATAGATAGAAACGACTGAGGGAATCTTGAAGTCTAATGTTTCAGAAAAGACTAAATTATATTCATATACATTTTAGTTTTTCCAAATTAAACACCGTCCTTAATTTATTCTTAAATTGAGCTTCTGTTCTTGACAGCTTGATGAGTGTGTGCTGCTGTTGACCAGTGAACCTTTACAATACGTCTGTTTTTATATTAAATCGACTACCGTTACTCCCAAAGCATAGATACAACAGCTGTTACTGAGCTGCGATCTCTTTGTCTTTGCTGTCATGATGAAACGATTCAGTCAATGTTAGACAGAAAGTGACATCTACATTATATCATTTTATCACCCCTGACTGGAGCAGTGATTTACTTTTATTTTACAAGAAATATCATAAAATGTGTGCTTGTAAACATTTCCTTTCAGGTATTGTGTCTAGATCGGGTACTCTTACATACGAAGCTGTGCATCAAACGACACAAGTGGGCCTGGGCCAGTCACTCTGCATTGGTAAGTAACCAATAACCTGGGGCATATTGAATTTAAATTTAGCACACAGTAACACAGCTCTTAGTTTTATATCCAGGCGATATTAAAACAAGCACTTAGCTGGGACTGAAAGAACAAATTGATCCTGATACAGTGGATCGCTTTATGGGTGCTGGAAGACGACACGGAGGAAATTGAACAGAGAATAATGGAGGAAATTTCATTTAAGTATGTGTAGCATTTGGCTTGGAGACAGGACGGTCACTTTATCCCAGGCACTCAACATCACATGCCCACATTTAATTTGAGCCTCTTTGTGAATGTTGGCAAGACCCAAGGCCTGAATTATAAGACATGAAAAGACGGCTGTAGTGATGTTTCCTTACATCCGTCTTCAACAGTTATGCTGAGGGGGATACAAACTTTCATTACAATTCCACTGAGGAAGAAAAAGGAAGGTGAATCCACTTAAGTCACCTTGCACCAAAACTCGACGCATTTCCCTTTGTATTGAAAAGCAATTAATAACTTTACGATCGTTGCTCAAAATATTTCTGTCCAATGGAAACATTGAAGTAGCTGCCATCTTTGAAGGGCACCATTGAGATTAAACAAACTGATCAAGCCCTCAAATTTCTTTGTTCTGAACATCTTAAAGCAATTGCGTCTCATCTACTGTGGTTCCATTTCACATTATAACATGAAGTTCAAAACTGACAGACCTTTGCTATAAAGTATTCAATGAATATTGTCAAGAAGCTAAGAAGAAACTATTCATGGAGCATGGATTTCATAAATGCTTTTGAGCTGCCTCTTTTCTTCCTTTTCATTATCCATTTTGATGAGTGAACCTTAATTTCCTGAAGCAGCTAAATGTTTTAAAACCTAATCATAATAGAACAGGTTCTGTATGACTTGCAGGCAATACATTAATTTCTACAATTCCCCACTAAAGATGTTGAATTCATATTACCCTACCTTTCTGCCCCACAATCTCCCCAGCCTTGTTCCTGTAACTTACTGATGTGTTCTGTGGATCGGCAACATGCCGTTTTATAGCTCAACCTGAAGCTGGGACATTATTTAGAACAATGTTTCTTGCTGTCAGAGGTGAATCTCAATAACTGAATTCCTTCACTCATCTATCCTCCTTATTGTCATGCTCAGTGAAAATGATGGGCTGAGCCTCTACCATGGCTGTTGTTGATGTTGCAGTGCATACTGGGGCTGAAGTCGAATAGTCCATTTAGCTTAGGAACCTTCCTAACTGAGTGAAATGACCCGGAAGTCCCTCAGTGGCAGCCATGATAAGTGCCGTTTGAATTCTCTAGAGCAGAGGTGCCCAGTACGTCGTCGACTGCGGGGGCAATGCTGGTAGATTGCGAGTCATTCATAAAAAAAAAAATCCAGCTCCGTTAAAATAGACAAAACAGGTTTTGATCCCTCCTCCCTTGGCCTCCCTGCCACTTAATTCAGGAGTTTACTTGATTGACAGAAAAAGCTATCGCTTTCCAGTCTGTTAACCCAGAATGCAAAGCGAAACAAAATCAGTCAAGTGCCGGGAAAACTCAAATTAAGTTAAAGAGACAAACAACAAAATGAGTGCGGGACCGAGCAAAAAGCTAAAGATATACCACTTCCACCCAGAATGGGAGGAAGAATATTTTGGTGTGATGTCACATTCAAAGGTTATTTGCCTTATTTGTAAAGCAAGCGTCGCTCTGCCAAAGAAAGGTAACGTGGAGAGGCATTATCGGAGTGTTCACCTTCAACTTTGGAGGAAAGGAATAGTACATATCGTCCCACGGGTGTGAAAACAACCCCGAACACTCGATGAAAACTTTACTGTTCGAGTGGCTCCAGGATGGTTGCTTTTATTTTTGGGTTTCCCAACACTTATTGTGCAAATAAATATGTACCCTATGATGTTATCCGACGATTTTTGCTGATTAAACTATTAGCTAATTAGATAGCTGATTACTTTGCTAATTACCTTGATAAGACGGAACGTGTTAAAGAGTTTGCGAGAATAAATCGGTAGTTGACAAATCTAAATCGAACTCCAACAAAATCCGTACACCTTTTGGATTGTTACTTCCTGTTATTCTACTTATGAACTATGTTTTTATGTATATAATAATTTAATTGATTTGTCTAACACTTGTTTTAATGTAACGAAAAATAAAATTAATTTATTTTTTAAAAGTGTAGTTATTCTTATGTTGTTACAAAATTGTTTACATAATTTATTAGACTACCTTTCTTGCCATTTGTCTTATCGACTTTGAAATTGTTTTTATTTCTCCATGAGACAATGGGATTAGTAATTGGGTACAAACATATTAACTCAATTGCGGCACACAACCGACGATCGTATGTTTTGTGGACTGCACCTTTGCGTAATGAGCACCTACCCCGATGTCGCGATGATCGTTCTGTCAGCTTGCGCACGTAAGGAGGCAGAACTTACACCCACGTGAAAACGATTTACAATCTGTTAACGAACACATGGTGGCAATAGTACGATTTGAGAGAGTGGCGTAACAGGTGGAGTTCTGCCCTTGTATAATTGGGTGTGGAACCTCCGCGAAGAGAGGCGGTAGGGGTGGCACACAAGGACGTATCGTCGGCTCACACACATTGACGGGGCGGGGGAGCGTGTGTCTGCCCCCGCCTCTCTAGAGCGAGACTTAACCTTTCTAGCTTTTATGGGCTGGTATCTGCGTAATAAAAAAAAAACGTAACAATCTTTGCTGCAACCGCTGTGATTCTGACGCTCTATTAAAGACCACGTTATTATGTACTGGAAAAGAGAAAGAGTTGAGCGATGACCCTCCCTCAGCGACCA